GGTGTTGAAGGAACAAGTCCAAACTTAGTCTGTCTCTTCATTACTATGTATCTTCCACTTCTATTCACTTAGTGAACCGGCGTGCTAACTCCGGTTTAACCGGAGTTAAACATATTGTCAGCTTCCTTTAATGTATAATCCTGGAAAGGGAGTTATTTTTTTAATTGAGATTTTTAATGGAAGTTTATAAAGAACTTGGATTTCCATTCATTCATTGTTGCACATTTTCCTCCCTGGGATTCTCATGCTCCACTTCCAGTCATTAAGTAGACCCAAGTGGTTATCATGAGTTAAGTCTACGAATCACCTTTACTTTGCCTCAGTTTATTGCAAAGTCTCTCCTTTTTTACTTTTCTTCTTCTTTTTTTTTTTTTTTTGGCACACCAGACTTTTATTTCATAGCACTGATGATAGCTCACTCCTTTCAGAAAGCAGCAGCCAAGAAAAAGAAGAGATCTTCCCTTGGGGGCCATGCAGCTCATCTTGGTATGCGGGCCCCTGCTTGGGCCAGTTCGTGGGACCCTTTCTGCCAGTCCCTTACCCCGCTGCGCAGGTCTGATATGATGGCTGTGAGGTCAATGTTCTTCCTCTCGCATCCCTGCAACTGATCTTGGCACTCGGCTAGCTTAGCCTCTGTAATCTTGAGGATATCAGGTAACTGCTGCAGGTCAGCCAACTGGGACTGGAACTGCCGACGTGCCGCTTCAATTTCTTTGTTCATCTCATCCTTCTGGATCTTGTTCCCTTTGTCACAGCGTTCGAGCTGGGCAGCCACTTCATCTGCCTCCAATCTAGTCTTTATTACCTGACTCTTATAGTTGTCAATCATTCCCTCATAGTTCTTGGCAGATGCCTTCAGCTGTTGGACCTCCAGATGTGCCTGACTGAGTTTGTCCTCCATTGGGGCAAAGCTAGCCTTCAGCCTCTCATTTTCGAGCTTGAACACAGAATATTCAGCAGTCTGACGGTGGAGTCTCTCCACGAGGCTGTCCCGGTCTTCCCTCATCTTTTCCTCCAAGGTCTGTTGTTGATTCACCAGATCTGTTACCCGGTCATTTAGGACAATAATTTCCAGCTCAAGGTCACCCTTATCTTTCACAACTTGATTGTAGCGGCTCCTCCATGATTCCAGAGTGGACAAAGCCTCGGCAACATAAAGATCCTTGTCAGCAAGCTGCACGTGCAGGTGCTCAGCATACTCCTCACTCTTCTCAGCTCGCTCCTTCTGGGCTCGGATGGCCTTTTTCAAGGTCTCTTTGTCTCGATCTCCCTTCTGCTTCAGTTCCTTCAGCTGCTCCATGATGGCCTCTACTTCTGCCTTGTGCTGGTTTCCACTGTGTTCCAGGTTCTTGATCTGCATGCATAAGCGACTGTTCTCGGCCTCTTTACATCGAAGTTGAGCCTGTAAATGCCCACGCATGGACTCCATGGATTTAGAAAGCTCAGATGCTGTCTTTGCTTGAGCCTTCTCACACTGAATTTCCTGGAGTAGTTCTTCGACCTCTTTGTCCTTGTCTTGCAGTAGTAACAGCAGGCGCGCTTTCTCGGAGTCTGCCTCTGCCAGCCGTTTTAGCAGTGCTCCTTGTTGCTCCACCAGCCTTTCAGAATCCTCTTTGCTATGCTGTTCCCTTAGCAGGTCTCGGAGAGTGCGGTTGGTCTCCTCAAATGTGCTCAGCTTCTGCAGGAGGAGTTCCTTCTGTCTTGTTAGGGTGTTGATGTCCGTGCAAGTAATTTGTTTCTCCGTTTTCAGCTTCCCGATGGTGTCCTTCAAGGCCATGACCTGCTTGGCAGCTGCAGCTCCATCCATTTCGGCCTCCACCAGCTTGGACATGAGACACTCCTTCTCCTGCTGGAGGTGTTTCTTCTGGAGC